CATTCCATAGTTAACAAAGCTCTTTTCATCAAAGTCTTTCTATGCATTACCAGGCTCCCATTCTTCGTTTTCTTTCGACCTGGGAAGTTTTGCTTTCAGGATTTATTTATTTTGGGGGGGGGGGCTGTATCTACATTGGGTGAATGAAGGAGGGGTGGAGAAATAATGTTCATATGTTTTAATTCCATGTTTTAATTTATATGTTTATTTGATTATATGCTTTTATTATATGGCATTGAATTATTGCCTATTTCTCTTGAGTGCCCTTCGGGGTGAGAAGGACGGGGTGTAAATACAGTAAAAATAAATAAATAAATACAGATAAACAGACAGGCTTTTGGTGTCAGATTGCAGCACATTGTCTGCAATAAAAAGTGCAATAAAGCTTGTGCTAGGTAGGAATGAGATTTTATTTCAGCTCAGTCATATGCACCTATTTACAACTGGAAAGATAAGCAGCAGCTGCCTCCAGAATCCCTTACTGAGCATGCATGGACACTATTTTAGAATAGGGGAGAGCAGATAGGTCTACTTAACTATCTACCCCCAGCATGTTAAACAAACATAGCTCAATAAAGGTGGGCTACAAATGGAACTCAATAGAAAAAGAGTCTGAAAAGAGAAAATGTAATCCATGGATATGTTTTAGAAGGTGCCTTCAGGTGATCTTCAGAAGATTCAAACGTTTTTTGAAGATACAGTACTGGACACTAGGTGGTGCTATGTGGGATAAGGGGGGGGGGGGAAACAGGATGCTGAGTAGATGTGGTACTTCATCACACTACAGAATGAATCCACTTTAAATCCGGTTTCTGCGTCCTGCAGAATTCTGGGGTTTGTAGTTTAGGGAGGAGTCTCTAACAGCCCCACTAAACTACAAACTCCAGAATTCTGCAGGACGCAGAAACCGGATTTAAAGTGGATTCATTCTCTAGGTCCTTAGAGAAAAAAAATGCTTGGACGGAGCAAAAAGAAACAGAGCAGACCAGGGTGGAAAGTATGGTATTATTTAGATCTCTTAMAACAACACACTGGTTTTGTTTTTTTTAAAAAAAAGATTTTTCTCTTACAATTTTGAAATGTAGTGGGACTTCTGTATCCATGGGGTCTGTATCTGCTAATTAAACCACCCACGGATCAAAAATCRTAACAAAAATTTGAAATGTTTTGTAAAAATTCAAAATATGAGCATTTTCTTTTCTTTCCCTGCCTTGTGGACTTGTAAGGCTGCGATGGAAACTGCTCTGTAATGCTCCCCTGCTGAGGATGAGGAAGCCATAGAGGTGTTTACCAACAGGTTGTCAAGGGAAGAAAAGGGATCCCTACTGTACCCCTGGSCTATAGCCAAAAAGAAATCTTTCTATCATAGCTTTCTTAATAAGCCACATTTCAAAATCCCCAGTTATTTCACTWTACCTTCCCTCCTCCCCCCACAGCTTGAGTGGTTAAGAATGAGATACTTCATGAATGACTCATTCACATGCCGCTACATAATGTATGTTGACAGGAAAATGCCTGCGGAAGAAGCTCTAGAAAGCAGAAGAAATCAAGCCAACACCAGCAAGTTTCATATATTCAACTTTCAAAACTTGAACCCTCTCAAGAGAACTTGAATCGCTCATTTGAAATGAGAAGGTGCTTGCAGAGGGAAAAATTGTGCACTGGGAAGAAGTTGCTCCAGTTTTCTTCTCATGTCAAAGAAGCTACTTCAAGTCCATACTGAACTGCTGGTTCCTTTGACCACTGTATGGTATGGCTAAGAACAAAAATGAATTGCAGAAAAAGAATCTGCTCCATGCAGTTGTGTCAAAATAAATTAACAGAAGACTGAGATCAAATTAATTTTCAAGTGGGAAGTAGTCTATCTAAGGAGAGGAGGCGAAGGGAGGGAGGAGGAAGGCAGAGGGAGTGGAGAGGAGAGACAGACCACATTATCACGGAGACCAGCCAGGGGTGATGGCCCACTGGGCTGTCCCTGCCGCTGCTGGCCTGGCGCTGGCTCTGCCTCGCCATGGGCCTCCCGCAGAAGACGGCCCTCAAGCCCAGAGCAACTGCTGCTGGAGTTGAAGCCAGAGCAGGGGCATGGTGGTGGTAGGGGCATGGCTCGGGGGGGGGGGGAGCAGCTGGGAGCAACCTCTCCCACCGCATCTGCCACCCCCTCTCCCTGCTCCYGACTGCTGCCCTCCGGCGCCCCTGTCCCCCATCCATGCCCTCTTGCCCCTGTATCCGCCCCACATCTGGAGAGAAGGGAGGGTGAGGGGGGCTGTAGGAGCCTGGAGGGCCTAAGGTGAATGGACATCTGTCAGGAGGGCTTGGATGGTGTCTTCCTGCCTGGCAGGAGTAGCGGGGTTGGACTGGATGGCTATTGGGGTCCCTTCCAACTCAAGGGTTCCATTATTGTTGTTGTTGTTGTTGTTATCAAGCAGAGCTGGATGGCCACCTGTTGGGAGAGCTTGCATTGTGTTTTCCTGCCTGGCAGGAGTGAGTGGGGTTGGAATAGGGTGCTATTATTGTTGTGGTGTTATTGAGCAGAGCAGGATGGCCACCTGTTGGCAGGGCTTGGATGTGTGTTCCTGCCTGGCAGAATTACAGTTAGACTGGATGCCATTGGAGTCCCTTCCAACTCTAGAGTTCTATTGTTATTTTTGTTGTTGGGGAAAGGACATTGGACCCGCCTCTGGGCTCACGCTAGGTAAGGTAAAAGTTTTACCTTAAGTCCAGTTGTGTCCAGTTGTGTCCGATTCTGGGGATTGGTGCTAATCTCCATTTCTAAGCCGAAGAGCCAGCTTCTGCTCTGATAGTCTTGGATTTGAAATAAAATCTGATGTTTTCTAAATTTTTATTTGGTGTGCATTGGAAAAGGGGTAGTCTTATACGGCGAGAATATTCCAAACTCTACATTTAAACTGGAAAAGTTGGGAGTCGTCTTATACACCAGAAAAAAACAGTACTTTGCAGGGGAAAAAAATTAGTTCAAAACTCTGGCTGGCTCCCTAAGAAATCTCAGTGGAATGGGAGAAGTTGGGAAGCAGAAGGGAGAGGATGGGGCAGATTTGGTAAAAGGCAGACTAGAGGAAGTTATCTATCTTAAGGTAAAGGTAAAGGTTTTCTCCTGACATTAAGTCCAGTCATGTCTGACTCTGAGGTGTGGTGCTCATCTCCATTTCTAAGCTGAAGAGCCGGTGTTGTCCGTAGACACCTCCAAGGTCATGTGGCCAGCATGACTGCATGGAACACCATTACCTTCCCGCCGGAGCGATACCTATTGATCTACCCACATTTGCATGTTTTCAAACTGCTAGGTTGGCAGAAGCTGGGGCTGAAAGCGGAAGCTTATGCTGCTCCCCAGATTTGAACCATTCGGCCAACAAGCTTAGCAGCTCAGTGATTTAACCCAATGCGCCATTGGGGGCTCCCGTATCTATCCTACTGCTTTTCAAACTGTGGGTCCCGATGCATTAGTTCAATGTTGTGGTTCTGAAAAATTTCGCAACAGTAAACGTTTTCTGAATGTTTTAGATATTTGGATAAATCCGTTATGCAGTGTTTACAGTGGACTTTGCAGAAGATGCTTCAACTGTACTTCATAAAAAGCCTGTTAAGCAAGCCTTGCAAAAAAATTATGTCAAGAGTGACTAAGGAAACTGCAAGTTGCTTCTCGTGTGAGAGAATTGGCCGTCTGAAAGGATGTTGCCTAAGGGACGCCTGGATGTTTTACCATCCTGTGGAGGCTTCTCTCATGTCCCAGCATTGGAAGCTGGAGCTGACAGATAGCGGCTCACCTCACTCCCTGGATTTGAACTGCCGACATTTCTGTCAGCAGTTCTGCTGGCACAAGGATTTAACCCACTGTGTCACCGGGGGCTCCACCTTGCAAACGATGACTTATTATCAGTAAAAGTTTGATTTTTGTACCTATTTTATACACCAATATACTGGGATCCCATAAAATATTACATAAATCTGTTATGCAACGAGTACTCGACAACTTAAGTTACACTTTTCATCTTATGAGAGTGGTTTGGTAGAATATTTCATTTCTCAGAGAGTGGGGAAGAAACAGCTTTGGAAGGGATTCTACAATCATAACCAAATTGAGACAGTTAAAGACACAACTATGATTACATACCAAGGGAATCTATACACACATGAGGTAAAATAATCTCAAACATCTATCTTGTGCTAGGGATGCCTGAATAACTGAAACTCCAAAGGAAACTCAATTTCGGAGAGAGTGCAGAGAACACAGAGTACTTTACAGTTTCAAGAAGTAGAAGCCATTTACAGAAATTCAAAACAGAAAAGTGTTCCATTACAATGGCTGGAGGGTGGTGATAGTGCGAGGCTGACAGATCATCAAAATTATCTTGTGGAACATTTCTGGGTGGTTTTCACGGTGACAGATAAAGAACTTCTGGACTATCTTTTCCAATTCCACAGTCAGTTTAAGATGATGAGGTTTAGTTGCAAACACTGACAAATTATTTATCATTTTAGCAGATATGCTCCCTTTTGTGAACACTTTGAGGAAGAACAACCAACAGACGGGAAAGTACAATCCCTGTGCCAATATTTTTGAAAGAGACAACAATATATCTGAGACTAGCAATTACCAACAACAAACCGACTTGATAATATATATGTATTTTTGCTTTTCATTAGAAAATTCAGAACATGGGCAGATATAATTATTGGTATCATAATGGATTACCAGAAATATGTAAGTTTTAACATATATATATATCTGGATAAATCAGAAAAGACAGGGCACACCATAATAGTGAGGGGCCTCCCTTCTAGTTAAAGCAGCGGTCCTCAAACTTTTTAAACAGACAACATAGGGGAATAATCTAAATAGATGCCCAATTTCGCAAGTTATAGTGCTGGTAAATGAAGAGAGAGAATATTCAGGTGAAAGGAACTGCTGATTATGGGTTGTTTGTGTCAGAAAAATTGCCATGTTCTTTAAAACACATACACAACTGAAATAGAAAATTTACCATATAATGCTTCCCGCTCTTTCCCAGGTGTCATGGTGGGAACTTTCTCTCCTGAATCAGGATCTTTAGAAGGAGTCACATTAACTGTGAAAAGAGCAAAGAAATTAAATCCACAATTAGTTCACGACTGTACCAGAAACAGCCATGCGATGCAATTATTTTGAGAACTCTTGTCCACCTTCTCATTTCCTTGGGAGACTGGGTTTAGAGCAGTGGTTCTCAACCTGTGAGTCCCCAGGTGTTTTGGCCTACAACTCCCAGAAATCCCAGCCAGTTTACCAGCTGTTAGGATTTCTGGGAGTTGAAGGCCAAAACAACTGGGGACCCACAGGTTGAGAACCACTGGTGTAGAGGAAGCAGATACAATAGAAAGTGTAGTTTTTGGATCATGAAAGAAACAGGGAGAAATGAAACATGGTCAGACATGTCTTTGGCTGTACTGCATTCATAAAGATGGTAGATGGTGGTGTCCAGAGAGATGTCTAAAAGAGAAGGGTTGTTGGAATAAGCACAGTGATGTTGACCTAAAGCATTAAAGAGGCCATCAGGAGCATACAAAAAACATATTATGAAAAGCAACATCTCTAGTTCATGATCCTAACTGGAGAACTTAGAGCCCAGTCTTATAGCATGTACATGGACAATGCAAACCCACCACCCGATCCATACAGGGGTGCAAGCAGAAAACAGAAGTTAAAAAGGTGGTAAAGTAAAGGTAAAGGTTTGCCCTGACATTAAGTCTAGTTGTTTCTGACTCTGTAAGGTGATGCTCATTACCATTTCTAAGCCAAAGAGCCAGCGTTGTCCGTAGATACCTCCAAGGTCATGTGACCAGTATGACTAAAAAGGTGGAGTACATCTTAGTTCCTAATTTCTGCATTTACACTTTCTGGCTTGTTTCAAACTGTTTTATTATTTACTAGCTGTCCCCTGCCACACGTTGCTGTGGCCCACATGGGGGTTCTGTGTGGGAGGTTTGGCCCAATTCTATTGTTGGTGGGGTTCAGAATGCTCTGTGATTGTGGGTGAACTATAAATTCCAGCAACTACAACTCTCAAATGTCAATATATTGTATTTTCCCCAAACTCCATCAGTGTTCACATTGGGCATATTGAGTATTCGTGTAGAGTTTGGTCCAGATCCATCACTGTTTGAGTCCACAGTGATCTCTGGATGTAAGTGAACTACAACTCCAAAACCAAAGGACACTGCCCACCAAACCCTTCCAGTATTTTCTGTTGGTCATGGGAGAACTGTGTGCCAAGTTTGGTTCAATTCCATTGTTGATGGGGTTCAGAATGCCCTTTGATTGTAGGTGAACTATAAATCCCAGCAACTACAACTCCCAAATGACGAAATCATTTTTTTTGAATGAAGGACATACATTGGGTTGTTAGGTGTCTTGCGTCCAAATTTGGTGCCAATTTGTCCAGTGGTTTTTGAGTTCTGTTAATCCCACAAACGAACATTACATTTTTATTTATATAGATTTACAGTATTTATATTTATTACTTAGTAGTCTTTCCAGGCACCTGGTAATTATGTTCATTCTATGTGCAAGACAGGGAATGAATTGCTTCCGCCCCACCCCCCTCCATTGCCATTTTCTTCGAGCACAAGCAACACATCAGATGTAGAGTTTGGATCCAAGGAAGAGTTTTATGTGAGCATTATTTCTGCATTCCTTTATGGAGGAACATCCAGTCATACAACAGGCTCCCTTCTTCAAACATACTACTTTCATTCCCCTCCTCCCAGGTGTAGAGTACTGCAACTCCAAGGAAAAGGGCTGAATTTCTAACATTTACACCTTGCTTACTCCAACCTGCATGAATATAATACCCAATCAATACTGTATTAGAAATATACCATAGGCCCTGTAATTACTGATGTCTTGGTGCTATCACTACTATACAGAGAGGTTTAACATTTCTGTAAATTCTGAACCCATGAGTGGATAAATTATGGTATACTGCTGACCAACATAAAATGTATAATTTGTAGCTCAGCATGGAAAGCTATGCTTTGACATATTTAAGAGATTTACAAGATAATCCCATGCACATTTCCTCAAAATACCCACTCTGTTTAATAAAAGTTTATCAAATAAACTCACACACAGCCTTAAAAATATTTTTTAGCAAGGCCAGTGATATTATCTGGCACCATCAAATTTCTCTTTCTTCTTTAAATATAGTTGCCCTCCTTACTGTTACTAGAAAGCATATGGGTCATGTGTATGAAAGACAATCACAGCAGCAGCAACATATGTGAATTCTTGTTGTAATATCAAGTATTTCTGGAACTGATTTTCTTTTCTTGAATAGGTAGTTTATTTATCTATCGTATCAGAAGCAAACCAAGCGTACAGTTGTAATGTATTCAAAGAACATAAAGTTTAAAAACCTGGCATTATATTAAATGTCCTTTGACCAGTAGCTGTCCACTTGAAGTGCCTCTGGTGTTGCTATAAGAAGGTCCTCCATTGTGCTTGTTGCAGGACTCAGGCTGCATTGTAGTAAGTGGTCTGTGGTTTGCTCTTCTCCACACTTGCATATTGTGGACTCCACTTTGTGGCCCTATTTCTTAAGGTTGGCTCTGCACCTCCTTGTGCCAGAGCGCAGTCTGTTCAGTGCCTTCCAAGTTGCCCAGTCTTCTGTGTGTCCAGGGGGAAGTCCCTCATTCAGTATCAGCCATGGTTTGAAGTTCCAGGTTTTAGCTGCCACTTTTGGACTCTCGCTTGCTGAGGTGTTCTTGCGAGTATCTCTATAGACCTTAGAAAACTATTTCTTGATTTACAGCATTGGCCTGCTGGCTGATATCCAAAGAGAGGATGGGCCAAATATACTATACTGCATTTTTGTAAAAGGCACACTCCCAAGAGATTAAAAGAGCCAGATAGGCATGATATAGACTGGCACATCTTTCTGCATCACTGGACCTGCCTGAAAAGCTGTGGCTATGGAGGCTGTCTTGATGAGCCACTCTTTTTACATTTACCACCATACAACATATTACCTGAACAGTCTCAAACTATGTAGAAATAAGAGTTAAATCCTGCAAGAAAACCGAATGCTACACATTTGCATAAAGTTCTTTATACTGCACACTTCAAATCAGTAAACTGCTTTCTCAGAGGAAAAAAACCTCATTCACAAAAAAGTTAAGTATCTTGTAGACGTCCCTTGAATTTCAAAATTTATATTGGAATGAATTGAAAAATGTCAGAGGAAAGAAGCGTCCATAGAATTTTTCCAGCTTTTGCTTGGGTTTCATCCCTCAGCTATGAGACTGAAGGAAATCTTCCTTCCCAATAAACCCCGAACTCTTCCTACCTCAAGATCCAAAGGAGGCCACCAAGTGGTGCCAGCTCTTTCTTGTTAAAAGAGTGCACCCTAAGGGGCTAGACAAGTGTGTATACTTTTGATAAGAGCTTATGAGAAACTCAAGATTACCTCCTTTACAGCCAGACCATCTCTTTTTAAGTTATACTGGCCAATTAAGGTAATATAACAGCTTTTATTGTTTTGCGAAAGCACGCTTCAAGCACAGAGGGCATGCTAATCAGTCACAAACGGTGTCACATCCAATTCCTAGACAATTCAAACCATGTTCTATAGCACTGTTTCTTAAACTGTGGATCCTGACCCCAAATGGAGTCCCTGAGCTCAATGTTGGAGCCATGAAAAAATTGACAACAGTAAAAGGTTTCTGGATGCCACCCATTTGCACAAATCTGTTATTAACAACAGACAATGTTTGAAGTATACTTTGCAGAAGATGCTTCAGTGATACTATTTAGTAAGCCTTCCAAATGCCAATTTGTTATCCGTTAAGCTTGATTTTTATACCTATTTTATTTATATACCTACCTATATACCTGGGGTCATGTCAAAAACTCTCAGGAGGAATGAGGTTACAAAAAATAATAATCCTTCACAGAAAGAAGTTAAGAGTGGAAAAAGTTAATGTATTGCTATCTCCAGTATCCAAAGTGGTTTTTTAGGAGAAGGGAGAAGCATCCATGTGGGGAGGGGATAGCAAGAAACTTCATTGGGGGCTTCTACGGAAGTCAAATTTCTACGGAACTTCTATGGAAGTCAAAAGTGTAACCAGCTACATTTCAAATTAAGTTGGCCTGATTTAATGAATCTCTATTCAAAATGTTTAGCTCTACAAGTAGAAAGGGGATTATTCCACTAGAGCTGTCCAAATCTGGGTTATTGGTTTGTTTGTTTTTTTGTCGTGTCAGGAGCGACCTGAGAAACTGCAAGTCGCTTCTGGTGTGAGAGAATTGGCCGTCTGCAAGGACGTTGCCCAGGGGACCCGGATGATTTGATGTTTTATCATCCTTGTGGGAGGCTTCTCTCATGTCCCCGCATGAGGAGCTGGAGCTGATAGAGGGAGCTCATCCACCTCTCCCCAGATTCGAACCTGCGACATGTCGGTCTTCAGTCCTGCCGGTACAGGGGTTTAACCCACTGTGCCACCGGGAGCTCCTAATTCTGGTGAAAATATGTCGATAAGTGTTCTTATGCTGTTTTCACCAACCACGTCCCCTTCAAATGAATTAGACTACAGATCCAATAATACAGCAACAGTGAGATGTGTATTTGGTCAGGAACCAAATTGTCTTAAGACTTTTAAATGCCACTGTAGTTAAATTAGAATCATAGCACTATAATTATATAATGTGATCCTAAACAAAACCATTATGTATTCTGGAATTCAGAAAGTCATTAAAGAGTTCTTCCTTTGCCATCATAATCCCAGCTGGCATTTAGAAGCACACAGCCCCTGACTGTAGATATGCCTTCATTCATATTTGCAAATAACTATTGTTGTGATCCTCCAGGAGTCTTGCATGATCCCCTTTTGAAATCTTCTGAGTCAATGGTAGTTTCTGTACAAGCATTTGTCATGTGAATACTATCAATCAACTGCACTTTGGCCCAGATCCTATATGTTGCTGGCAGACCAAAGAAAATATTAGCTCAAGTACTTTTGAAGGAGTTCAAGATGTCAACCAAGAGACAACACAAGGGACCAATATAACTCCAGGTACAGAAGGCCATTATAAGTG